TGGGAATAACCTTAACAGTGTCATGAAGTAAAGGGATCTTGGTGTAATAGTCAATCAGTCTCTAAAGCCATCCAAGCAGTGTGCTGTTGCTAGTGGTAGGGAGAATAGGATTTTAGGTTGTATCTACAGAAATATTGAATAGAAGTTTAAAGAGGTTATAATTTCATTGTAAAGGTTGCTGGTTAGGTCACAGTCTTGGGCTCCTTACTTTAGGAAGGACAATGAATCGTTGGAATGGGTTACTAGAATAGTGCCTAGAATAGACAGGTTGTCATACGAGGAGAGATTAAAATCTCTCAAATTGTTTTCTTTAAAAAAAAAAAGAGTTAGAGAGGATCTGATTAAGGTGTTTAAGATTGTAAAGGGAATTGATAGTGTTGAAGTATCATCTTTTTTTCATATTTAACAGTGAGAATAGTAGGACTAGGGGACACAAGTATAAATATTTACAGGGTAGGAATCATCTTCTGCTAAGACAGTTCCATTTTTCTAACAGGGTGGTTAGTCTTTAGAATGGGTTGCCTTTGGATGTTGTAGAGGCAGTAAATTTAAGTGAGTTTAAGAAAAATCTTGATAAGTATATGAATGATAACGGTTGGTTTTATGTTTTTTAAAAATTATTTTAATTTAGTTTAGAGGATGGAACAACCGAGATTGACCAATAGGTTCCATGTTGTCCCAAAACATGATGTTATGTTATTGACATTCTGTTGAAGTAACATTTTAGATGCTAAATATAATTTATTTTATGTATTAAATGTTTATATAAATTTTCTGTCATTATGCCATAAACAATTTCATATTTCTAATCAACTTATGCATGACTTCAGGGATTGTATTGTGTGTATGGCTGATATAGTATTCTTGCTGAAAAAAATTAGTTGATTGTAAGTTTATAATAAGAAAGTTAAAATTAGTACATTATTTGGAACTACTCAACAACTGTAATATCTTACATTAACACTGATTAATTATTTCACTTATGCATTTATAGATGTGAACTGCATTACAAGTTAAATAATAAAACAAGTATTGTCTAATGTTTGAATGGCCTAAAATGTGTCACATGATTTTTATACTATATAATTTTTTAATCAATCTGATTACTATACGAAATATTTTCAATTGAAACTGAAATTACAAGAATTATCCTGGACAATGGCATAAAAAAGTAATTTTTTCAGGGTTTCCATATGTTTTTTTAAAAATCAACTGATTATTTCATGGGATACTTTTTATCGAAACTGAAATTTTAGGACTAATTCAAGGCTATAACTAAAAAAAAAGTCAGTTTTCCATGATTTCAAAGACCTGTACTAATTCTGGACACTCTTCCTAAATTCTTTAAAAAATTTTCATTAGCATGAAGTGTACTTCAAAAAATGTCAGTAGAATCTGTAAAAAGGTGGAGAAAATGGGTGATCCTGCAAAGTAAAATTTCTGTTAAAATGACAACATTGCTTACTGTGATGAATTATATATTACATTGCTTTTTCTTCCCTCATAAAAACTAATGATGTTTTAAGCATAGTATCTGTGGATTATTAACATGATCACGACATCGTGCTCCACCGGTGGTACATATGCATGTTTTCTGTTGGACGTCGTAAGCCACCCGTGGTACACAGCACTCATAAGATATAACTGTATCTCATATCTCAAGTCTTATATGAAGCATTTATTTTATACAGACAGCTATAATAAAGCCACGACTGCCATCATGTACCACTGATGGAGCACGGATGCCATGTTGAAAGGACAACTGAAATAAAACAAATTTACATGATTAAATCACTTTTTATTTTAAAATTACATCTAGAGATCGCCGTTAAATTTTTCATTGTGAGTCATTGAAGCAAAAAAAAATTAATTGAGACTTCTTTCATCAATAAGAAAACTGTTATGAAAACTCTAACGTAACAAGGATAGAACTATTATCATCCTTAGTAGGGATTATCTTATCTGATGACCCTTTTTACGACCATAAAATTGTGAAATTTGCATAATTCTTCTAAAAAAATGGCAAAATCAGGCTGAAAAAAAAAATTATGATCCTTTGACTATCATTACTTAAATCATAGTGTGCACAACCAGTGGCACATGACAGCCAAAGCTTAAATGAGTAAAGACAGGACATCATGTAACATCGGTGGTGCACTCAAGAGAAAGTTCTCAATACAGTTATTCTGTCATAAAACATAACAAAGCCATAAAATTAGCTGTATCTAAGGCAGAGTTCACAATGAAACCTTCCTATTGCATAATTAGAAAAATCGCTTATGCCGTGAACATGTTAATGTTGCTGATATATTAATGGTGAATTACTGACACCTATATTTTATATCATTTTCATAATGACTACTGAATATTCTTTCTTCAAAAACTGAAATGAATGAATTTCATTTCCTGCAAGTTTTCTTGAGCTGTGAATGTTAAAGTTTCACTAACATTTTTTTATTGCAAATTAAAAAAGTATTCTTAATTACACCAACTATTATATGTTCCTTCACAATCATTTCCAAACTCTGGCTTGAAAACACCAATGTTGCATTTCGTAGATTAGTTAGATAGACGCTTGTATTATAGTCATAATGTTGAATCTAAGGTTTTTAAGAAGCTAAACCTCAACATTGGTCTTAATAATGCAGTTTTTTAGTTTTCAAAGGCACACAATATAAAATGTCATTGACCTGTTAAAGTTAATCAACTGATACTAGATATGTTAAGTTTTCCTGAAAACTGCTCACCAACTAAAAGAGTTACTGAATTATAATGCATAGGCATATATAGTTGGCTAAGTTAATTTGACAAGTTGCTTAGTTTCATCAACGTTTTGAATTATTTGAAGACTATAAATATTATCTAGCTGGAAACCTTTCTAATGAAAACCTTAAGAAGGATATTGAATTGTTGAAGAAGATTCAGAGAAGAGCCACTAGGATGATACCTGGAATGGTGGGATTGTCCTATGAGGAAAGACTAAAATCTCTAAACTTGTTTTCTCTGGAGAGGAGAAGGGTCAGAGGTGATTTGATTGAGGTATTTAAGATTATTAAGGGTATTGATAATAAAGATCCATCAAACGTTTTGGTGTTTAGCAGGGAAAACAAGGAATCATAAATTCAAACTTGAGCAGCGTAGGGGTCGTCTGCAGTTTAGACAGTATTACTTTTCAAACAGACTTTTGGAATGAACTGCCTTCAAGGGTAGTGGAGGCAGAAAATTTAACTGAGTTCAAGAAAATATTGGATGAAAAAATAAGTAGTAAGGGGTGGTTATAGTTGGGAGCTGGAAGGGACACCTTGATGGGCTAATAAGCTCTTTTTTGTCCCTTTAAAATTTTATAAATTTATAATGGAATGCCACTAGAGATAAATAAAAAATGTTATTTAAAGTCTTGTTGATTAAAAAAAACACAGAACTGAGACTGGAGATGCTTGGACTTGTTTTAAAAAAGTTATATTTTTATATCCAAGAAATTTCTTTATATTTTATCTCAGTATTTCAGTTATACATCTTTACAATAGTCATAACTCTGGAAGAATTGTAAGATAGCATTTTAAAGACTTTTGAAGCAAAACGTTATTTAAAATCTGAGTAATACTAACGCACCTCGGAAGTTCTCCCTCTTCAACTCTGGCATCTTCAGCATCAGGATCTGGGGATCTATAAATTAACAAAAAATTTTCAATGAAAAGAATGTACACAAAACAAAAAGAGACACATGAATACTTGTTAAGATCAATTGAAGAATCATATATAAGCCATCAGTTGCTGAAAACAGAACTACTTGAAGGTACTAACATACACTGAACAATTCATGAGCAGAAAGTGTCTGTTTTAATTTTATTTTTAGTTCTTAAAGATCTTACGATACTTAGTAATAAAATTAAGTCATAAAGTTTCTTAAAATTTAAATATGAAAAAACAGGTAAATTCTTGTATGTTTGACCTAATTTTGATTTGACAGAGTTAACTGATACCTGCTAATTCATAAGTATAAGGAAACAATACTACTATAAAAAGTATCTTAAATCTCAATGTTTTAAATGATTGAAAAACAATTGGGTGATGCTACAACTTGATATTCTAAGAAATTTTAAATACAGCCATTTTTTCATATTAATTAATGATTATAGTCTTCTAAAGTTTGTTTTCCTAAGGATGAATTCAACATATAACCAGAAACATTAGCATTCAATGTTTTATAACCTGTACTTGTTAGTGTATGCAATCAAATCAATTACTGTCCACAAACACTTTCTGTTTAACACTGTGACTTTTCATTTTTAACTCTTGTATTGAAACAAAATACTTAAAAGTATGATAAAACGTTTTTGTGTTTATAGTCTATGGAATCACAAACTCACCCTTTCCCTGCCATAGCTGGACAAATAGGAGAATCCCTGTTTTCATTCACACTGCCACATTTTGTACATCGAGTCTTAAACAGGGTACCTATAAGTACACATAACACTTAATCATATATTAAAAACAAATGGTGTCCATATTCAGTAAGGACTATCAAATTTCAAGAATACACAAAATATTATTAAAATTTGTAAAAATTAATACAATATGTATTACATAAATACAAAAACTATTGCTACATAATGAAAAAAAAAAAGTACATCTAAATATAGAACCTTCATATTTCCGATATTACACATCATAAATCTTTCCAGGTAGTGTTTTAAAAATGAGCCTATAATTAAAGCCAATGTTCACTGAAATCTTTTCCACTATAATATTTTCAATGTCATTTTTCTGGGAATCCCAATCAAAAAAGTAAATCCTTTATCTATGCCTTAATGCTGAGCCTTACGTTTGAATTAACATAACTAAAGACATTGTGAATACCTAATATATATGAAAAACTGTTATATTTTCCTTTTTTTCAAGAAGTAAATATAATAATGTTATTTAGAAGTCATAATGCTATGCCTAAATTAGTAAAAACAGATTTCAAGAGGAACAGTAAGTGTTTTCCAAAAGTGTAAGCTATATTGTCATGATTCAAAATCACAGTATGAACATCTTCCTTTTCCTCTACTTTCTGAGTGTTTAATGTATCTATCAATATATCTGTAATGTGAAAGTTCTTCCTTGTCCTCTGCTTTCTGAGTGTTTAATGTATCTACCAAAATATCTGTAATGTGAAAGTTCTTCCTTGTCCTCTACTTTCTTGTTTAATGTATCTACCAACATATCTCTAACGTGAAAGTTCTTCCTTGTCCTCTACTTTCTGAGTGTTTAATGTATCTACCAATATATCTGTAATGTGAAAGTTCTTATTTGTCCTCTTCTTTCTGAGTGTTTAATATATCTACCAATATATCTGTAATGTGAAAGTTCTTCCTTGTCCTCTTCTTTCTGAGTGTTTAATGTATCTACCAACATATCCGTAATGTGAAAGTTCTTCCTTGTTCTCTACTTTCTGAGTGTTTAATGTACCTACCAATATATCTGTAATGTGAAAGTTCTTCCTTGTCCTCTTCTTTCTGAGTGTTTAATGTATCTACCAACATATCCGTAATGTGAAAGTTCTTCCTTGTTCTCTACTTTCTGAGTGTTTAATGTACCTACCAATATATCTGTAATGTGAAAGTTCTTCCTTGTCCTCTGCTTTCTGAGTGTTTAATGTATCTACCAATATATCCGTAATGTGAAAGTTCTTCCTTGTCCTCTACTTTCTGAGTGTTTAATGTATCTACCAACATATCTGCATTCTGAAAGTTCTTCAATTTTCTGAATGTTTCTTGTAACTGACCAACAGATCTGTGGTATGAGAGTTCTTCCAAGTCTTCCATTTCTTGTTTTTTTAATTTCTCTGTTCATAACATACATGCTCCAAGAGTCAAATTAATACCTACATAATACTATCCACTCTTCCCATTAAAACATTTCATAGTTAGAAATTATTACTAATGCTCTGTCAACAACAGCACACACAAGAGTTCTTTAAAAAGATTAGCCTTTATATTGTGACACAAACCAAAAAATCATACCTCATACTGCACCAAATTTCTAAAATATAACTTAACAAGATTTCTAAGTACATGTAGAACAATCATTCACTGATTACTTAATAAGAAACAAAGTCATTATGGAGGTCAACCTAAATTTATTATACACAAATACGCAAATAAATATAGATCATATTAATTACATTCTGTATAAATCTATGTAGCAGGCATAACCTTAAAGCTTACCATGAAGTTCATACAAGTTTTTGGTTCCAGCATCTTTGTGCAGCTCGTCAATATTTTGTGTTATCACAACCAGTCGACGGCCTTCATCAGCCAGCTGTTTCTCTGCATCAGCAAGAGCACTGTGAGCCTACCAGAGACCACTTTCCAATAAAACAGGCATTCATAATGAAACAATTACTTAAAAATAATAGCTGCACTTAGAATAACAATAAACAAATAATTAGAAAACTTTTGAGTAAACAACAACAACAACAAAAAAACATTTAATAATATATATATAATTATGTACAAAGATTTCAGAATCGTATAAAAACTTGGCCAAGGATACAGGACCACTTAGGGCCCTTGAAGGGTTCCAAGAAGGTTTGCACCCCTGCCCAGAGATTAATTTTATGCATTTTTTAACACTCTGAAATTAATTTTTGGACATGTTCAGAAATAATTGTGCAGAATTCATTTCTTCTCACTTTCACAGCACAAAATTCAGAAATGTTGTTTTCAGGAGAAGCATGATTGGCTGTTTCATAATACAATACTCAACTCAAATGCCATTGTTGTTCTCTACCTTAATGTATTTCTACAATTATACATTTGTCAGTCAATAGAACTTAATATTTTAATTGTTTGGAGCATATTTTTTTATAGCTGTGGAAGCTTTCTGAAGTTTTAACCCTCAATTTTATGTTCGTTAGAACTCTCTTAAGATGTGTATAGTTATACAAGGTCCAAACACGAAAACCTGAGGATCTGAGGAAAAGTATTTTGGAAGTTTCGTAATATTGAAAAAGATCAACATTTCAGTTACTCTTTTTCTTTAACATTATAATTAAAGGCCTTATTCTTAACCAATTTTTATTTGAAATCTTTATACACTGATGCCCACGATTATTAACTTTCATAAGTAAATTTAGTGTTTATTTTACAGAATGGTTTATGAGTGGAAATGATGAACAAATTAAAAACTGATGAAAATGTTACCAAAAACTGCACACACACACACATACAGATTATGGAAATAAAGTACATATTTTTGTATTTTTTTTTTTTTCAAAGTCAAAAGTAAAAAATAATCATATATATGTCTGTTGGAAAGAATTATGATATCGGTTTAATTTTTCCCTGGTACGTCCCCTTCTAAAGTACTGTGTGCATATATACGGAAGACACTACATAACCTTTGTTTTAGCTTTGAAAAAAAAGTGCGATATTAAACACGTATGAGGTTGATATTTTTTTACCACTTTGAAAAAAAAGGTATTCCATCAAACTACCCAGAATTTATCACTTTAAGTTTCAAATAAGTAATGAAATGTTAAAACACATCTTTTTGTTTTTATTGTGTATCTAAAAATAAAATTGGTGCGGGTTTATCTATAATGTGAAAAAAAAGAGAGAGTTAAATGAGGAGAAATATTAGTAAAAGCTCTCATCTAAATGTAACATCTACTCTGCAGAAATATAAAAAAAAGAGAGAGAGACTAAGATTTTACATGCATACATATATATATACAAAATTTTTTAACTCTTTCAATATGATGACTTCGTAACCATTCTGTGATTGTTATAGTTTCATGCTACAACTTTTAAACTAGTAAGCGAATTTAACAAAATTTGGCAGATTACCAGTAAACATTACAATGCTTTCATACGTAAAATAGGCAAAGTCATAAGGCTTGTAAAACAATGTTTCTCTTATGCCTTTTTTTTCTTTCTTTTCACATGTTGCCTGTCTATCATGCAAAGTAATTTTCATTTTAAGATTAAAAATACTTTTCTTCATCAGAAAATTTTGAAATT